TGTATTCTAGATTATTTCAGCAAAGTTCCAGCTCGAATGAAAGAGTTTTAATTTTGGAGCGATTTTCGTCCAAGTGGCCCTTTAACCTTTTTCGCAAAAGAATCAAAATTATTAACTATAATAGTTGTATTGATTCTTACATTGTCTCCTGAACCAAGTTATAAAGCTCCTGGTCAGTTAATTCAGTCAGAGGATCCTCTTCTTGATCGAGGGAACTACTCACGTCCACATCAGAGCTGGCAGCCATTTTGATTCTTGTATTTCTCGAGTAAAGCTCTCGTTGTTATGGATACAGTACGAATGTGAGGCTCCCAGAGGCTCCCTAAACCTTCGCTTCACCACAGGGAGCCCAAGCTATGGCTTTAGGACTAAAAAAATTGAATTAAAGGTTTTTAAATTTCTTAATAGCACCTATCAAATCTCTTGTTAATGATTATTCGAAAAATTCACAATAATTTAGAAAACTAGTTATATAAGTTTAAATATGTTTTAATTTAATACTGTAGTTTTCTAAGATTTATGAAATGCAAATTTGGCCTTCCTGTGTGGCCACGTGGAATGGTAACGAGACTCAACGTCTAAGAACGTCGTTTGACAGTCAACAGCCATCTTTGATAACTTTACGAAGTTTGGTAATTTTTAATCTTGTTGCATCTTGCTCATCTAAGGTGCAATTATGAAGCTTGTTAGGTAAGCTGCAACATCAATGATCCATCTTTATGATAGTCTTTTTATTTTTGTTTTTGCCCGTTTTAATTTTGCATTTTTTAGCAAGAAACTTGAAGCTTGGCTTCATAACCTTTCATTTTTTCGTCTTAGGTTTTTGATGAAACTAAGCCACGAGACGGTGACAATTGAACTTAAAAATGGAACAGTAGTTCATGGAACTATAACTGGTAAGTTAAACATGCTTTAAGCCAAATATTTTAGCAGTTTTCCACAGTTTAAAGTAAAGTTTGAAATTCGTTTCAACTTCGTCTCGTTCTAAAGGAATCAAAGTTCTATTCTATTCTTAGGAGTATAACAATTAAACACGTCTGTCTTGAAAGTAAAATACTTTGGATCCCAAAATGTCACGAGACAGTTAATGATTTTATTCGTTTTGCACATTCCTGGAAAGTGTACTTAAAATGAGCTATGCATATGTTCTGGTTATTTCAGGTGTGGATATGAGTATGAATACTCATCTCAAAGCTGTAAAAATGACTGTCAAGAACAGAGAACCCATGCAGCTAGATTCTTTAAGTATCAGAGGAAATAATATTCGATATTTCATACTCCCAGAGAGCTTACCACTAGATACATTATTAGTAGATGATGCTCCCAAAGCAAAGGCCAAGAAGAAGGAAGCAGGTATTGTTTATTCTCTTATCTATAATGCTTGGAGTGACTCTGGATTACCTATCCTAGCACTAACAATAGATGAACAATAGGGGATTAATGTGTGCATATCATTTGACTGGGTATTCTGAAGTCATACTTACTGCTTAAGACTTCAAGGGTCTATATATTGATTAACACTTATTGACTGAGACTGAGGGAACCAATGTGTTTTGTGGCCCCTGATGCAAAGCAAAGGGAAAGATCCCTATGAGGGACCATAAAACACTGCTTTCCCGAGGTTTTAGTCCATAAGTGTTTTGTTATATACCAAGTGTCAAAGAATGCTGTACAGTATGCATAGTAATGTAGAGTTTATTACATCTGCTAAACCAATTACATTGCATTATTTTCATACTCAAAGAGGAATGAGTTGTTGTTTTACTGATTGCATACTCATTGTAAAGGGTTTTAAAAATAGTAATGATAAAAGGGTAAATTTAACACCGTGAAAAGATGAAAAAACTTACTGACGTTTCGGACACTAGTAAAAGTAATGTTTTCTCCATTTCAAACCATGTGTCATTCTCTTGAATGTAAGATTCTCTCATGTACAACCAATAAACAAATAGATGATACTCTTGGGAATTACACATGGTCTAAAAAAATCTCTATAGAGTGCTAAAGTGTGATGTCACAAACAGAATATTTTAGTTTCAACACTTAGATTTCCAATTTCTAGTAGCAAATGAGGAACTAATACCTTTGTCAAATTTCAGTTGCATTAGGTCGTGGTAGAGCAAGAGGCAGAGGAAGAGCAAGGGGAAGACCATTAGGACGTGGTGGACCTGAGCGTGGAGGCAGAAAATAATTATATTCCCCAAGAGCAGTATCTATAGTACTCTACCAGCCTGGAGAGTTTTGGCACTAGTACAGTTGATGAATAATGGCTTTGAGATGACTTGAAATATAAAGAGGGTCTTATAAGGAAGCTCTACATGTATTTTCAGGTGTCAAATAGATGACAGTATGTAACTTGGATTGATAGGCAAGCAAGTTTCTTTCTATAAAATACATGTTAGAATAACCGTCTTTTTTACTGACACAAAAGAAAGTGAATGTTCGTGCTCTAATTGAGCACACATATTTATTTAAAAATATAGAATCAAACTTTTGCATGGATGACTTTTGCAAACTTATGTGATGGATGGAAGCCAAAAACATCTGGAGTTAGTTGTCTGGGGCAATGAAACATGAAATGTGCTTAAGTTTCCTCATAACACTATTACCAAAGAACTGTCAAAGTTATGTCTTATTCAACATTGACTCTGAAAACTGTACTGTACTCATATGTAGATACTAGAGGGATTTTACTTAGCCCATGAACAATTATTATAAGAATAAGAATAATACATAATAGTAAACGCTAATTCCATTGTTTTCTTTTGTTTTACTTTGACTGTTAGTCACTAGAATTAGATAATTTTGTTTCATGGACCAAGTCAAATCACTCTAGAGGGATTTACTTTGCCAGTGAAAGAATAGTCAACGTAGGTAATACATAGCAATAGACTCTAATTCCTTTTCTAATTGTTTTCTTTTCTTTTTGTTTTACTGTTAGTCACTAGTTATACAACTTTCTTTCACTTTAGTCTTCTCACCCAAACTTGTATCATATCATCTATCTACACAAAAACTCTGGAAAGTGGAAAACATTGCCTTTGTATTGTAAATAAACAAACATTAATAAAGTTTTTAAAATAGAAAATTGTTTTGATTATGTACTTGACACAAAGATACCCTCCAACCAGGCTTTATCATCCACAAAGTGAAAAGTCTAGCTGGAATTTTCAAAAGAAAAGCCTACAGATTTTATTTTATTCTTAAATTAATAGACCTTATTCGTGGTGTGACAATGTTTTCCCAATTCAACGTGACAAACCTCCGGGGGAATGAAGAGCTATTGTTTTGCAACTCGTCGGGATATCACCGTTATTCCTTTCGTATCCTTTGGGATACTCATGAATTTTTCGAAGAGTAAAATTAAAAACAAAAGAAAATGAATCCTCTGTTGGTTTGTCACGCCGAATTGGGAAAACATTGTCACACCACGAATAAGGTCTATTTGCTTTTGTTCATATTTGGTCAAAAATAACCGTAGACCATACTTATATCGAATGTTGAACCGTCGTATGGTAACTCGCAGCATTTACGGCACCGCCGAATATTTCTACCCAAACGCCGCTATCCCTGGAGAAATTACAGACGGATCAGGAAGATCGGCCGAATCCTAATCCTTTTGCTATGACCAGGAAACCCAAAATGTGGCTTTTGCCTCTGAAGACTAAGTCCCCATGGTCATTCTTTTCCATGTGGGATGCGTTTTGCAGTAAAGTAGTGCGTCATACTTTTACACGCAAGCGTGGGTACCGGAGATGTCCTTCCATTCTAGCTTGCTGTAGTGACTTGGTGGCGAGGGCCTGGGATCCAGCTACAAGCTGAGTAAAGTTCGTGTACAGTTCGTGTCTGTCAGAGTTCTATATCATGGAAGAAGACGTCTCACGAACATGTTCGGTAAGGGAATACCACAATACCAATATAAAATGTATGTATTTTTATATCTCATAAGATATAAAAATACATAAACTTTATATTGGTATAAAAATACTTAAACTTTATATTGGTATTGTAGTAGAAAAAAGCATTTTGCCTTTGTTTTCAAGTCAAATGATGAGTAAAACCCTAACTGATTTTAGCTGATTCTGAAGGAGTTTTATTCTGTCAACCTGACAACGTTACGTATCTATTGCAGGTTTAATGGACCTTAACTTGCTGCCCTACAGTGTTTTTTTGAGGAAAGTGTTTACGTGAGAAGCAAAAAAAGATATCGTGATTTTTTTCAAATCAATTATTCAATATCGAAATCCAATTATGATTTGTCACGCTCTGCTGTTCTGTAATCATCTGATTTTTTGTTGTTGCATTGAGTCTAATAATACGTACGCTAGTTCTTCTTACAACCGCCGCTGCTCGATATTTTATAAATGATTCGAAGTCAAGGATGAATGACACTGTAGTGAGTATGTGATAGAGTTTTAGGGAACAGAATGTTAATTTTGGCGAAGCAAATGAATATATCGACAGAGGTCAAAGACTAGAACGTTTACATATAAGACTTGCTCTGGACTCAGTCTCTTAGTGCATGCAGTAGTATTGGGGCGGACTCGGACTGGTTTCGACCTAGCGTACGTAAAACACTCAGTCTTTTCCAACACTCAGGTTTTTCTGGGTAAATGCCAAGCACCCCAGATTTCTCGTACTGGTTTACCAGCCCCACCGCCCTCACCGATAAAAATGTGCGGCCTCTTATATAAAATATTCTTTTTTTAAACAGGCGCCTTTGAAATTCCTGACCTTCAAGGCAGCTACTACACCAGGGACAAGAACAGCGGGTCTCAGCCTCCTTCATGCTGCTTGTATTCAAGCAGACTTTCATACTGTCTCTCTTCTTCTAAACTTAAGCCCAACTCGTCTGGACAATGCCATCGCTTTGACCATCAAAACAACATCTTCTGCTGCTTCTCCACTAAACAATGCTAGCTGCTTTACTCTTTCTATGATTGGAAATACCAGAAAGCATGACCAAATTCACAGGTTACTATCTAAAATTGATGATGAGTTTATGGGTCGGTCCTTGATGCATATTGCAGCGTACAGAGGAAGTTACGAACAGTTGAAGAGAATATTGGAGTTAGGCGCAAATCCTAATGAGGTGACTAAACATGGCGGTATTACTCCGCTTATGTTTGCAGCAACTCGCAGTTCTACGAGTTTTATGGAAGTATTAATCGAAAAGGGAGCATCAATCTACACTAAGGACAAGTCGGATTCGTGCGCGCTCCATTACGCCGCATTTCACGGCAGGACCAGAAACGTAAGACTTCTTTTGTATAGCGGTGTAGACGTCAATGAAATCAACGGGCGTAGAGAGATGGCGCTCCATCTAGCCTCCAAATATGGCCACACGAAGACTGTCGCAGTTTTGATACAAAACGGAAGTGACATTGACGCTAAGACTTCAGGAGGCGACACGCCACTCATGTTGGCAGTGATTGGGGGTTATAGAGACACTACTGCATACCTTCTTGCTCGTGGAAGTTCCGTACATATCCAAGGAGGTTTAGATTTTACTGCGCTACACCATGCCTGCAAGGAAGGCCATACAGAGATTGCTGGTCTTCTGATTAAGAAAGGTAGCAATCTCGAGGCAACGACCTCAGGGAAAACCCCGCTGCACTTGGCTGCAACCGCCAATAATTGCGAGACGGCCAAAATGCTCTTTATGCATGGATGCGATTTGGACGCGCATGACATGTTTGGAAGAACAGCCATGCATTATGCCGCACAACAGGGTAACATCAACATGATTAAGCTTCTAGTTCACAGAGGCGCTGATAGCCATGCTAAAGATTCCGAAGGCCAAACTCCATTATTCCAAGCTACAATTTTTGACCAGCTTGAAGCTACGGAAACTCTGATCCTGAGCGGCTTACGGGTGACCGCGCGCGATCGTTACGATAGAACAACGTTACATTATGCCGCACAAGAAGGAAACACAAGTATCGCAGCCTTGTTGATTAAACGTGGAAGCGAAATTGACGCCGTGGCTGATAATGGCGACACGCCTCTCATTGTTGCCGTTGGCTACGGAAGTACTGAGATTGTAGAACTTCTCTTGCGGGAAGGTGCTGATGTTAATGCGAGGAATTCCATTGGTTTGTCTGCTATTCACATTGCTTCTGGCAACAGAAAGACACGCATTGCAAAATTTCTCATATCCAGTGGTGCGGACATAGAGGCGCAGACGAGCGAAGGAGACACGCCTCTACACATTGCAAGTCGTCAGGGATTGAGAGAAATGGTCGTGCTTCTGCTCGAACAGGGAGTGAATGTCAACTCACGCGACTCCGGAGACAGGACTCCGCTTGCAGTTGCCATTATTGAGATTCATCTTGAGGTTGCGGAAGTGTTGCTGAGGCATAATGCTGATTGCAATCTTCAAGACGGCGAGGGTCAGACGCCTTTGCATATGGTGTATTCTTCTCTCAGTCACGTGCTTGTCGAGGAATGGCTTACACGCGAGCTCACGAATCTACTTCTGAGGTAGGCTAGCTATTCTAATCAAAATGCAAATAGTCTTGAAATTGGAATGATAAAAGGTAAATTATACACCGTGAAAAGATGAAAAAACTTACTCTGACGTTTCGGACGCTAGTTCCTTCGTCGGAGTCACCCTTTTATCATTACTGTTTCATTAGAAACACCGACGCAGCTCACACTAGTTTTTAGCTAGTTATCTCTTCTTTGAAATTGGAGTAATGCATATATCCGTGGAATAGCACAGAAACTAACTACACATCTATTTCATTGATGCTATATTGTACTAATAAGCTGGTACTATTTCACGGATATAGAACTCTACCAATACAAGATTGCGCTGTGTCCTAAGGACTGGGGCGGAGAAATTAAAGTTAACTCTCATGACTTTGGGGGGTATAGAAAATGTTAATATAAGTTACCACGGCGAACTTAAAGGGACAGTATGAACTCAAATGCGAAGAGTCTTCGAATCAGAAGCAACTTTGAGGGAGGAGATGTGAGTCAGAATTGTGATATGAAAGGCAATAGGAAGAAAGTAAACAGGAAAGCATGGAGGCTAGGGGAAAAGAAGAAATGAGGTCACAGGCCAAAATGTCACATGTCAAAAAGCTTATACATGGGGAGGGGGCACTAGGTCAAAAATATTTGAGAGGGTGGGGGTGGGGAGAAATAACCTAAACCAGCACAGTCTTCGTAATATTTCGCAAGTACTATTCAATCTGTCTGTCAACAGATATAACGGTGACGTAACAGCCAAARATATCCGAGGCAAGACTCCACTGCATTTTGCTGCAGTCAGCGGTTCTGCTAATCTGGTCATGTACCTCCTCGAAAACGGAAGTGACGTCAACGCCACCGACTTAGATGGCTTCACTCCACTGATCTGTTGCCTACTCTATTCCAGTCGCGCTGAACCTATCGCGAAGGTGTTGATCCAGTACGGGGCGGATATAACAATAGCTGACAATTCTCACCGTACAGCACTGCACTATGCTGCAGGACTTAACGGGTCCAGGAGAATATGCGAGATATTGTTACAGAATAAAGCAGATATCGAGGCGGTGGATGAGGATGGTAATACCGCTGTACATCTGGCTGCGTTGTACCGTAGTACTCCTACTGCAGACCTTCTCGTCAAAAAGAAATGTAATGTTAATGTTGTTAATAAAGAAGGTAAGGAAAAATATGATAATTCGTAAACGCCACAAACAACAAAATTCAGTGCCGGTGTAAAAAAAAAAAAAAGAAAAAAGAGGATGAAGGCCGAGGATAAAAATGCTTGCCCTTAATGGACGTAATGTTTCCCTATTTCACACTACGTGTCATTCCCTAGAGTATCATGTCTTTGTTTAACGGTTGCGCATGAGAAGACACATGAATAATGATACGATTCATGCAAGGAATAAGATTCTCAAGACTTGGTATGAAATAAGAAAACGTTACGCCCAAGGTAAAAAGGGTCCATAAATTCAAACGTTATTCCACATATTTCTCTTTTGAATCGAAGGTCGAACTCCTCTTCACTGTGCAGTAGCGGCAAAATGCAGCTGCACTCACGGCTGCAAGAGGTGTGTCTGGAAGTACAACACAGTTGAATTGTTAATAGAAGAAGGTCAAAGCAAAGTAAACGTCGCCGACCACAAGGGCAACACACCAATGCACCTGGTGACAGCCTCCATCACCGATACTTCGACTGCTCGGCTCCTCATTAAGAAAGGTGCTGACACGAGTGCTGTGAATAACCAAGGAAAGACTGCACTTCATCTGGTGGCGGCCATGAAGTGTGAGCGCAGTAGAGAAAGGTTTACTAAATCAAGGTGAGACAAGAAGGAGTCAGGCTGGGAAGGGAATCAAGGGTGATGTATCGGGAAGCACACTCGCCTCTTGGCTCTGGGGACTTAAGTTTAATTTTCGGACTTGGAATCACACATGAATAGATGTTGTCGGGCCTCTCCCTCGATTCGAGGGTTTTTCTCCGGGTTCCTTTTCTTAGATCAGCCCAGAGGTTGTTTCAGGGTATTACTTTCCCATAACAATAATACTTTGCGTCTTTGGGGGGTAACCAGAGGGGAAAAAACGCACTTATTTTGCTGAAGGCTGATCAGGTAATATTGAAATACCTTGTTTGGTATCCAAATATAAAATGAAGAAGAATATTTCTAAAACCAAATTTATTCTGTTTGGATCCATACAAAAACTTAAAGGCTTAGAACAAACACCGATATTAAAAATAATGGATAAAGCAATAAACAGAGTTTCTAGTACGAAATTCCTTGGCGTCATAATCGACCAAAACCTCTCATGGGATTCACATATCGATTTTATTTCGCGTAAAATCGCCAAATCAATCGGTATTTTATATAAAGTCAGACATTTTCTTAACCTTGATATACTCAAAAACTTATATT